TGCATGTAAAGAAGTCAAAAGTTAAGGGGAAAGACCCATTGGGAAACCAGATATGGAGACTGTGCAGCCTGTGACCTTGATGAGAAGACTGATGTGGTGTGCGGCACAAACTCCTGGGCTTGTTTCTGAGGCTTTTCCAGGCATGGGTCTGGGTGAGCATGGTTTCAGTTCGCCCCCACACATCTCAGAAGCTGGTGGTCTGGAAAACTTCCAAAAGGGTGTGGACTGCAGTTTTTGAAGAAGCATAATTAGTCATGCCCATAAATTAATAGGCTTGTGTGTATGTGTGTGTGTGTACAGGCTGCAGTGAGTGTGCTCATTATAGCCATGACTAGCTCACAATGGTAGCCTTCCTGAGGATTGAGTGGTGCCAAAGTCCTCTCTTATTCAGAATTATCTCACCTGTTTAGAGCCAAGTTTATGTGTGAGTAAGGCAGACATCTGCATCTTTGAAAATACAGTTTTGTGGATGTTGCCTTTAGGGTGGTTTTTATTTGCTTGTTTTGTTTTGGGAATTTTTTCTTAGAAACTGTTTTCTTGTTTCCTTTAGAAAATCACTAAAATTACTAATGAGATGGGAAGATTAACAAGTATTAAATTTTGAGTTCTTTGTTACATTGTCTCATTTTCTATAAATATACTAATGTGTGCTTTCAAATTGTTAATAAATTGGAGTTTTGTTGCAATGTTAAAGAAAAAGAAACATGATTTCCTCATTTTGGTCTTTAATTTTTTTGCCCCTACACATGAAATTCTAGATCTCTGGAAAGGACTCAACAAAGCCTTCCTAAATAAATTAGCTCTGACAGTACCTTAAGGATTTCTGTTGTGGCTCTGACATATAAGTAACTCAGATAACTACAGAAAACTGTGTTTAAAAATCAGCCCACAAGTATTTGAAACAAGTAGGCACTGTTCTTTCTGTGTACCTCACCTCTGAAAGCTTGCTCTGATACCCAGATACAAGTAAAATTTCTGCCTCCTTATTCAGTGAGGTTATAATTGGACATCCTCTAAGTGCCTCATTTCATGTGGTTCATAATAGCAGAGTGCTGCAACAACGTTTACAGGCTGACGGAAGCCAGTAATCCGTTTATAACTGTACTCCGATGACAATTAACAGACCCGTGGAAATTTGAGAACCAAATTTACCTGGAGGGGTCAAATTTAAATGTCCAGATTGTTTCCAAGCCCTGGCTTTTGTACTATGTCATACTAAATAATCTTTTTTATTGAAAAAAATCAAGGGTGATTTATGATCAATGAAATAACCCTGGTATAATTCACATTTTGCCCTCACAAAGAAACACATTGAAAATGGGGACAAGGGATATTTGAGGATCCTAAATGTCCATGTGACATTGAAGAAAAAAATTATTTTCATGTCTCTTACACTTTAAAATTTTACTTTGCTTCATATCCCTGACATTGATATAGGTCCAAAGGGAAACATAAAATTACTTGCCTATTTATTGAGTACCTCCTGTGTCCTAGGCCCTATCCTAAAATCCACAGATATCCTACTTAACCATTTTAGCCGTGTGTCACCAAAGTCCTGTTGATTTTTATTCAGGGCAGTGACAGGATTTTAAAAATGTATGCTTTGAAATTATTTTATAAAAATTTTCATTTTGTGATTAGAGTATTATTAAACTTGGATGATAAAGACTTCAGCTTTACCGACATTTCATTTCTATAAGAAGAGCTTGCATTTTGGGGCTTTCATTTGCATAAAGATTGAGTCCAGATTTTTCAGGGTAGCATTCAAAGTTCTCTTTAATGTGAATTCATCTTTATTTCTTGTCTACTTCCAAGTCATCCTTTGAGTTACTCAGAGGTTCTTCATGACCCCTGGAATCTGTGTGCCTCCCACTCTTAGCCTGGTCTCAGGCTCTGTCCACTGCTTAGAATGTCCCTTTTTGCCATTTCCAATCAGTCGCACACCTGTGATTACCAGACAGTCTCAGATGCTGCCTCCCTTAGAGTGTCATGCAGACCACCATTGCTAATCCTTCGCCCTCCTCCTTACAAAGTACGTGTTACATCTTCCTTGCTAAGCTTAGTGCAGTTAGTTTTATCTACAATTATTTTTTATCCTTTTAGGATGGTTAGAAGCTAGGTATTAGGAGCACTGCCTACTGGTTTACCGTTACATCATATGTACTAATAAACTCTTAACAATTTTTATTGAAATCACTATGAACTCCCAGCCTTCCATGCTCAGTTTCACCCTGAATACTCATAGCATGTACCAGGGATCTGCTATCAGCCAAAGATCCAAACCCCTTTTGTATTGGGATTTCATTTGAATGTTGTACCTGAAATACCTGTGTTGTCTTCAACTAAATTGTAACTGCGTTTTAGATCAGAGACTACAGCCAATCTACATTTGCATCCCCAGTTGGTTACTGTTTTAATTTTATAATTGTATGAGCCAGTACATCATTCTGTGATTTATTACATAATTATCGTTTTAGAGCAAGACTCAGCAAAGTGTCATCCACAGCTCAAATCAGCCCTACCACCTGATTTTTGTATGGCCTGCATGCTAAGAAAGATTTTTACACTTTTAAATAGAGGGGAAGAAATTCCCAGAATAATACTTCATGTTATAGGAAAATTAAATGAAATTCAAATTGGTTTCCACAAATAGTTTGATTGTAACACAGTTGCACCCATTTTTTTTTTTTTTTAACCTCTTGTCTGTGTCTGCTTTCATGCCAGACACGAAAATGTACATGGCAGGGTTTAATAGTTTCTGCTGAGGGTCCACAAAGCGTAACTACTATCTGGCTCTTTCCGTAAACAGTCTTTCAAGCCTGTTTTAGAGTACTTGGAAAACTTATTATCTTAGATTGTAAACTTTTTGAAGACAAGGAAGGCCCATCTTTGTATCTCCCACCGCCCTTTCAAATTTATGGCTCTCTGGCACTTGTTTCAGTATTTGTGTATTAGCTGGATTTTGATGTATTTGCTGGAAGTCAGGTGTGAGCACTGTGGAAGATCAGACAGGGCTACTGAAATTTGTGCCTTTTGTAAACTGGCATACAGTGAATGTCAGAGAATCAAACACTTTTTGACTTACAACATATTGATTATTCTTGGGATACTTGGGCTAGCTTTCTGATATGTCATTCTTCCATGTTTTACAGAAAACACTAATTCTCACTTTGCAGTGTGGTTTCCATTTATTCCCTAGGGTGTTTATGCATGAGTTTTTGATTAATGGAATGTTTTTCCCTTTCCCAAGATAAGTGTGGGGGATGCAACCTATCTAAATTGCATCTGGTGTGCATATAGAGGCTGAACAACTGCTTTGTGAGTTAAGCGCAGTTAAGTCCACGGATTTGGTGAAAAATAAGTAAATAAATAAAAAGGCACTGGATCTTTCTTCTGCATGCCAGCCACCAAGCTTTCCTAAACTTCTGTCTTTGGCTAGAAAAATAAAGACTGGATGAGAATTCCTGTGAAATCTCGTTCTATGCACGCCTATGTGCTGAACCAGCAATTACTCACCTAACCTTCCTATCATGATGGTGTTTTGTGTGGTTGCTGAACTTAGCAGTAACATGTCCAGTGTTTCTTTCATCATGAAGTTAAGGTAAGCATTGTATATTCCCATAAGTGTATTATTTGGCATTAAGTATACACCATCACAAGTTTGGAATTTCAGGAACCTAGGAGGATGCTATTGTAGAAAAGTGTTTCATTGATAAACAAGGTTCTGAAAAATGAATGGGGAGACTATGTCAGGAGTATAAAAATGTCTGTAACATTCATTAAAGTGTTTGTTAAATAACGTGTTCAGACTGACTGTGTTTCCCAGCTTCTCCTTTGCCCATTATATGTTCTAGTAAATTAAAGCTTGGAAACCTTTGTCAGAGTTATAATACTCAAACTGACATCTAATTCCCCCAGACAATAGGTACAAGTCTGCGAGCCTCTCTAATTCTTTCCAGCCTTTACATGTATTGGTTCTTTTGTAGACCTGTTTCATTCAATCTATTACAAACAGCACTGGTTAAAAGTGTGAAGTTTACCACATTTGACCGGAGGCACATTAAGAAACAATAGCGTCCTGGTGTACATTCTGTGCGTCCCAGGGGTGTAGCTCTTAATCTGAGCAGTATTTTCATCTATAATTACTACATTAGATTTGAAGTGCGGGCTTGATTAAAAAGATTGACGTGTTTATTTTTTGGCTGACCTATTTGGGTAGATGTGAATTTGAGTCATCTATTTTGTGTGACCCTGTGTTACAAAGATGTTATTAGTTGAGCAAGAATCATGTTTTATTTTGGAGTCTCCATTTTAGCATAGATTTGAAGTGCTTTTGTTAGTTATATAAGAAATGGTAAAAGTTGAACATTTTGAAAAAAGAAAATTGCTTGTGCCCTCACCCAGGTATCGTAAATAGAAATGTGTTTCAGAATGGTTTTTAAAGCTCAGTATTATTGAGATTGTTATTGAAACATTTATAAATACTGCATCAAATGGCCTCCACAACTTGATGGTCTATGTTAAAAAGCTTTCACCAGAATTAACATAATCTATTTTTCATTGTATACCATTCCTCAGGATTATGCCTTTTCTACACATCTGATGTTGTAAAACATACTGTATAAATAATTGATAATAAACAAATTCTACTTTTGCCCTGGTGTACTTCACCAGTTTCAAGACTTTGAAGTTCCTTAAATAATTGATGGCACTTATTAGTGCAGGCAAATCAGATGGTATCCTTTATCCGAGCTGCTTTTCGTCCTCCTTGTTTCTGAGCAGAATTGTTAAGCGATCCTTCCGATTGGGAACTAAACTGAGTGCTGCTGAAAATCACTGTGGCATTCATGCTCACGTGCACTGATACATGCATGTTGCCAAACGTCGGCGTTTACACTAATAGAATTTGTAGAGTTACGGGAATATATTCTGAAACTAGGAATTGGTATATCTTTTGAGAAAGAGAAAAACGTCTTTTTACCAGCACACTTTTAGTTTACCTATAGCTTCTTCCACGACGCTTCTTAAGATGAGGATTTCGATTCAATATGCACTCCTTGGCCAAGGTACAAGCATGCTGAAAAACATGAACCAAAATATCAAAAGACAGATTATATGATCTTTTTTTAACTCATAAAAGCTTTGGCAGCATGCCAGCCAGCCAGACTAAATACTCTGCAATGGTACAATAATCTTTCTTGGGTGTGGAAAATGTAACCATGTGATGGTGACAAGTGAAGTTTCAGAAGTTATGAAAGATTTATGACAAACATTTTTTTCTCCTCATGGTCTTCTGTGTTATTTATAATTACATGAATCTTAACCAAGGGTTTTATTGATTTCATAATGAATTCAAATAAAGATTTCAGTTCCTGAATGACCTTTAAAGGTTAGACTGGTTATGCATTCTTTTTTCTAAAAGTTTTTGTCATGATAGAATTTACTTTTTACCATGGAAATATTCAGACATAATGGTTAGGGTCACTTTAGACTGTAATTTTCACTACAAAGCTTATGAAATAAGTGACCAACACAGTCTCTAACACACACACACACACACACACACACACACGCACACACACACACACATTTATATATTCAGAGGACTTCTTTATAATAGTTTTATTCACACAAGCCATGGAGAAGAAATTTTGTCCCTATTGCGGGGGCAGTATAAGATGAACAATCTATAATGGACCCTTTTTCTGGTGTTTGCCATCTCTTAGAGAGATTTGATTTGCAAAGGAAGCCCTCATAAAAGTGCCTGTTGTCCACACCACCCTGTATGTCTAGGGCAGGCCTCGATTGCTGATCAACCTGTCCCTTTGAAGTGAAGGAGGGAGAATATTTTAAACTACCACCCTAAAGCATGACTTTAAAACATACCTTGAGGCTGGGCGTGGTGGCTTACGCCTGTAACCCCAGCACTTTGGAAGGCCAAAGTGGGAGGATCTTTTGAGCTCAGGAGTTCAAGCCCAGCCCAGGCAACATAGCAAGACTTCGCCTCTACAAAAAATAGAAACAGTTAGCTGGGCATGGTGGTGCACGCCTGTGGTTCCAGCTACTCTGGAGGCTGAGGTGGGAGGATCCTTTGATCTGGGGAGATCAAGGCTGCAGTAGACTGTGGTCACACCACAGCACCCCAGCATGGGTGACAGAGCAAGACCCTGTCTCTTAAAAAATCTTGAAATAACAGCATAAATACAGCTTCACTATACTCTCAGTACTAATTACTCGCCATAACCTTAAATCTGTTTGTCAATATGCCATGTAAAGACATTTGAAAAGAAATTCAATTCCAAAAATAAAAGATTTGCACTCATTATAAACATTAACTCACTTAACTTCAAACACTAATTATTACTGTTTATGAAGGAAATCATGGCCCTCCATTATATTCTCAGAAAAAAAATCTCTAACCTTGAAAATCTACCCGAGGTTCTGACTAGACCTCAACTCCTACAAGCAGCTTGTAGGTTTTGAAATCAGTAACTCTTCTGGCAACTTCTTTTGAGGGCCTAGATTAGAAAGGAGCTAAAAGGCCTCTCTGAGCAATTTTCCCCTACTGCCTCACTGCTTGGAGTCTCCTAAGAATTCTCCCTGCAAGACACCACGAGAAAAGAGTGTTTTCACTCCCACGCCATCCCCTATGTGGAGTGAAGGTGCTTGGGCTGTGGTAGACAGCACACCCACCTACCATTTCCCCAGGGCCTCTTCCCCTTTAAGATCCGAGCCAGTGGAGATGCTTTTCGGACAGAGTTGCTAAAGATCATCTGTTTCCTAGATTTAACATTCAGATGGTTCAGGAAGATCTGTAGCAGGTCAGGGTTCTGGAGAAATTGGACGTGTAGCATCCAGAAAGTCAGTGTGGGATTACCGATTCAGTTGGTAGTTCACCATCACCAGGCCTCATCTGAGAGGCAGACAGTGAGCCAGGTAGGAAGGGTAAGCCTCTTCTCAGGTGTCAAAGCGAGCAAGTTCTGGGCAGCAGGGGGGAAGCCTGGTCCTGGACACCAGGTGCCTCATCTTTCCCATCTCCACTTTCACCGTCATTGTCCGCTCTGGCTGAAAAGCCTCATTTGGACTTGAGCCTTCAGGTGTAGAAATATGACTTGGTTCTGCTGAAGATTCTAGAAGCAGAAAAGTTGCGATCATTAAAGTTTTTCTTCTTTGTAATGTTTTCTACACATTTGAAAAGAACACGATCGTTCTTTTTAAGACAGTCATATCTTGTCAGTTTCACATCTCTGTACCAAAACCTAAAGCCTAGAGAGCATGGCTGCCTTCTCACTAGAATACCTGTAATGGCCCCTCTCGTTTCCTTTCTCTCCTCCTCAAACGCGATGCATCATTTCCGATCATCTTCGCAGCTGCCAAGGAACTCAGGACCTGACTCCTCAAAGTTGTCTTTCTCCTTTGCTACTGTTGTTCACTTTTCCCATCCTTGGAGCTGCTATTGCGTTTCGTGTGGGCATGTTACGGTTTCACAATTTAAACTCCTTCTAAAAGTTCTCTGGTTCTACTGATGTTATTTGTGAATCTATTTCGTATACAAATAATAAGCTCTGTTTCTATTATTTTTTTTATCTACAAGATTTTTGCCAGTCACACAGCAGTGAGTGTTCAGTGTATAGCATTGGTTAGCCTGATTTTCCCAAGTGAATTGTTTGCATCTACACTCAAAGCTTGGGGTTAACACCCTTATTATTTAGTATCTTCTATAGCAGTAGGTTGAAAACTATGCCACAGTGACCCTCCCGAGCCATGGAGGGATGTGGGATAGGGAACAACCAGTTGTATTTCAGGGCTGCACTCTCAATTTAACAGAAGAAGTCTGGGGTTTTTTTTCCCCCTAAGAGTTCATTTTACCATCAGAGGATATTATTCAGAGGATAAAAAAAGTTTCCGAACCACTGCTTTAATTACTTAATAAATGCTCAATAAATAATTATCCCACCATGGTATTGCATAGGGAAATAATGAGTTTCAGCTCAATAATACAAAAAGAAAAAAAATGTGTAAAGGGCCCTAAATGAGTACTGTGGTAAGAGCAAAGAGTCTTTTGCATAAAACTGGTTTACTTAGTGACAATAACTTGAGTTTAATTATTTAATAGAGCTGCTACCTAGTTGTATATAATCTGGAGTGCCCTTTCAGTAGGGGTTCACAGACGTGGTGCTGGTTTGTCAACCCTGTTCTCCCACTCAGCAAGGAGGTAAAGAATTGGTGGGAAGCCTAGAACAGGCTCCTGACCCCAGGCCCCTTGCTCTGGGCAACAGTACCTTCCCTACACATTCTTCAGATTAGCGGTTCATTTGCACTAATAAACTTTCTTCCAAAAGGAATTCCTGTAGAGATCCCTTAGTTTATCAGCCATTTACACCTTAGGTTGTATTACTTTAATCAAGTAATCAGATTACTTTTACTGAGGACAGAGGCCTTTTGATTGGGAATAAGGCACGGCAGCGCTTTGTGAACTCAAGGCGGTGAGGAAGAGGCATGCCTCCGTAGGTTTTCAGAGCGACACTCACAGCTGGATTGACTGGGATCCAGCCAACCCGTCCAGGTATTGGGGTGAACTGTGCAGATTGCTGTAGATAGCCCACCACTGTGGTGAGAAGAGCAAGGACAAATATCACAACGCCCAAATGACAAATGGCCTGGGATATGGAGCGGTTGGAATGAAGCTGACAGGCAAAGTCGGTGGCATTGGAAATAGGTGCGAAGGACAAAGACAAGCAGGTGTCAGGTGGTGTGGAGTGGATGTGGGCTGTCTTCAGCCGCTGGCTCAGGCCTGGGCTGCAGAGACAGTGAAGACGCAGTGACGAAGGATAGATCAGAGGGAAGGGAAGCAAAGGGTGACAGGAATACCATTTCACAGGTGTGAAACCATGGTCTGAGATATTTTATAAAGACACAAATAGAAATGAAGAAGGAGCTGATGGAAAGGAAGATTGGGATGTCTTCCCATAGACGAGGCCAAAGTCAGATTATAACTGTGAAAAGTTCTTGGCCTGGTACGGTGGCTCATGCCTGTTATCACAGAACTTTGGGAGGCTGAGGTGGGTAGATCACAAGGTCGAGAGATCAATACGATTCTGACCAGCATGGTGAAACCCCGTCTCTGCTGAAAATACAAAAATTGGCTGGGAGTGGTGGTACGCAGCTGTAGTCCCAGCTACTTGGGAGGCTGAGGCAGGAGAATCCCTTGAACCCAGGAGGTAGAGGTTGCAGTGAGCCAAGAATGCGCCACTGCACTGCAGCCTGGCAACAAAGCAAGACTCCATCTCAAAAAAAAAAAAAAAAAAAGTTTTTAACACATGAAAGAAGTAGGCTCTTACCTACTTCTGCCTAATTTTGCAAGGCAGGTGTTAGTCAACTTTGAACAACAAACTTCACTTTAGTTTAGAGGGTGCTGGGACACAGCTGAGAAAGCTAGACAGTAGAAATGCTGCCGTAAAGCTAGGAAGTCCCCATGTGAGGGCTGAATGGTGGTGACTGATCAGTACTGTACCTGAAGAAACATGGCAGCTTTCATTATTCAGTATCTTAGAAGCAAAAATCATTGGTGGTTAGTGAGTAAGAGTAAACTTGCTCAGATAAAATTTAAATGAGTTGAAAATCAACCCGTGGAAAAGTGTGTTCTTATCTCTGCTTGTGTTGTTAGAAAAAAATAATAGTTCAGCATTCAAATTTTGTACAAGTGTGAAAATCCAGATGCAAATTTTAAATCACTGGACATGTGATACTGTAGATACATGTAACCATACATGGCTTTATGGAACATCATTGCTTTGTTTTTTGTTTGTTTGTTTGTTTGTTTTTGCGACAGGATCTTGCCCTGTCACCTAGGCTGGAGTACAGTGGCACAATCATGACTAGCTGCAGAATTGACCTTCCCTGGCTCATGTGATTTCTCCCACCTCAGCCTCCTAAGTAGCTGGAACTTCAGGCACAGGCCACCACACCTGGCTAGCTTCTGTACTTTTTGTAGAGACGGGGTTTCGCTATGTTGCCGAGGCTGGGCTCTAACCCCTAGATTCAAGTGATCTGCCTATCTAGGCCTCCCAAAGTGCTGGGATTATAGGCATGAGCCACCGTGCCCAGCTGTATATTTTAAGGTATACATTGCTTAGTTTTTATCAGGATGTAATTAGTCATTTAGTTTATGGACAAGCTTATATTAAACAGACAATGGTTTCAAAGGAAGGCTCTAAAAGGTCTAGAAATGATGCATGGGGGCAGAACTACATGGGAAAATATCAGTGCTCCTTGCATAATCATAGAAAAAGGATCAATCTAAATGGGCCAGGTTTTTGTTTTTGCTAGAAATAACAGTGCCAAAATAAAAACTTAAGTATTAGAAATAGTATTATTGAACCCAAGTCATCTTTAAAACTTATTTCACTGCCTCAGAATCAAACACTGAGAATAAAGGGTTTAAAGTAAAAGAAAACATATCCAATTCACACTTCAGGAAAATGAAAATACTACAGACCAAGAGAACATTCTTATTGAGCTTTTTTTTCAGTGCTCTCAATTTAACCAGCTGGAATTATTTTTAAAGTACATCCAATTCAACCTTTTAAAATGACAGATTTGCCTTTTAATGGGAAATATGTATTTCATCATAAAGATGGAGCACAGTGTCCTTGGCTAAGTTATTCTCTACAGAAGGATGCTCTTTTTTTGTACTCTGTGCTTAGCCTATAAGAAAGAACACAGATTATAGAAAATTAGCGCCTGGCACACAAGATTAGATGCATACAGGCAGACTGATAGAGAACAGTTAAAAATGCAAACTGTCCCTTCCAGTATCCTGAATTCATACGGTGATATCAATTGCTATGAAATGAACAGTCCATACAAACAGAACCAGCCGAGGAGAAGAATAACTTTAGAAACTAGAGTTCTTTTTTTTTTTTTTTTTTTTTTTGAGATGGAGTCTCGCTCTGTCACCCAGGCTGGAGTGCAGTGGCACAATCTCAGCTCACTGCTGCAATCTCTGCCTCCTGGGTTGAAGTGATTCTCCTGTCTCAGCCTCCTGAGTAGCTGGAATTACAGGCACACACCACCACATCCAGCTAATTTTTGCATTTTTAGTAGAGATGAGGTTTTACCACATTGGCCAGGCTGGTCTCGAACTCCTGACCTCAGGTGATCCACCCGCCTCAGCCTCCCAAAGTGCAGGGATCATAGGTGTGAGCTACTGCATGTTTCTTTTATAGTTAAGGAAGAGACAGCCACCACTTTAAATAACCAGATAGTACGTTGGAAAAAGTCAATCACAAGCTCTATTATTTGGGGACTTTTTGGTGTCTCACTCAAGGAACCTCTTAAATCTGTATTCATTTCAATATATATAAATATTGTTTGTCAGGGAGAGTGAAAAACATCTCCAGTTTCTAAGGACAAACAAGTAATTCACTGATAACAGTGGAGCTGAATTAAGCTATCACAGCGTTTACGTTAGTAAAACGGACAGATTTTTTATTCAGATGGACATTTTCGAGACATAGGCCTGACTGGTGCTATGTGACAGGACAGAATCTGCGAGCTGTGAGTGGAGGGTAAACATTCCAGGACTCTGCAGGAGGGAGAGGCTGAGGTCAACCAGGGATGCTCACTCACAATAGGACCTTGGGGCAGGAGTTGCGAGCAGGTGCTAAGGGAAGGACTCAAGAAGATCCAGGAGTGGGAGCAGCGGGAGAGGGTCTGAAATGATTTCCATGGCAGGGCGGGGGGGCCTGGAAAGGCGAGCAGAGCTATTGGAAGCCCCCCTTAGGTTAGAAACAAATACACATTGCATCCGTCATCATGGGGCTCTTTAGGTCAGATATACTTCAGAACCCACTGCCTGTGAAGAACAAAACAAAGATGTTGGTTTGTCAGTGGTAGGCATTGTCTTACTCATTCTAGCACTAAAATATCCTGAAAGTGTTCAAGCGTCTTTTAGGAAACAGAAAACTAACCATGCATTTTCAGGCGTTTTGGTGGAAACGCCACCCCAGCATGCTTTATCTGCACAGTTTCCAAAGCTCTTTATATAATCGTAGTAACAAATTGTACAACTATTTCCAATATGTAAACAAGAACCCTTGGTATGAGTGAAGCCCATTCATTCATTCAACAAATGAAACAAATACCTGTGCTTGAGCCTGTGCAATGGGATAGTCTAAAGTGAAGTCAGACCCGGAGCCCGCCCCAGTTGTCTGGAAAACCTGAGAGTCTTCCAGCTCTTTTTAACTGAAATATGGGTACGTGAGTGGGGAGAGAGGGAACTAAAATTCTAAAACAGGGGTTGGAAGTTCCTGGTGAACTTCGAATGCACAACTAACGTGTGTGAACTGGACTTTTTAATC